CCCCCCACACACACACACACACACACACACAATGAATTTGACGGGACAGAAGTGGAAGGTGGTTCTTAAAAAGACAGAGGCCAATTTCAAGGCGTTTAGAAGAGGAAGTGGTGAGAAAAGTTTATTTTCTATTTAAACATAAAAACAGCATTTTAATTACAGCTAAAGGTGACATAGATACTTTATTATGGTATAGCATTTAAATGTATGCCTGAGGAACACATAATATTGCCCCTTTAATTTGTGTGAAAGAACAAAACAAAATAAAACAAAAAAAGTTAGTCACTACAAATAATTAACGTGAAGTTAATCTCATCTGTGTGACATAATCCGGCCAATGAACAATCAAATGAACCAGCCCAGATAAAACCACAGGGAATGTAAACAAACATATACAGTAGTTTATATATATAGAAGCAAGATTTCACTCGAGGTGACCCCTGCAACTATAAATTAATCTTTAAGCAATATGTGTGACATGATTGAAGCAGCAAAAGTACTAGTTGTTGGGCTGCACGATGGATCAGTGGTTAGCACTGTTGCCTCACAGCCTTTCTGTGGGGAGTTTGCATGTTCATCTCGTGCTTGTGTGGGTTTTCTCCAGGCGCCCTGGTTTCCTCCCACAGACCAAAACCATGATGCTAGGTCGCCTCAGGCCCAGCTCTCGTTACAAAAGAGATCTGTCATCTTAATAGGATTTGCCTGGTTAAATAAAGGTTAATAACATGTAAAAGCATTTTTTTTGTTATAATGGTGTACTTTATTTGCAGACTTATGGTCCAAATTACATAAAAAATCCAGACAGTAAAAAAAAAAGATGTGTAATATCTAGAACTATATCCAGCATTAGTCAGTATTAAGATGACTCCATTATCGGACTTGTTGAGTCAACAGATAAACATAAAAATAACATTTCAACATCTAAACAAGTTCAGTTTTATTTCATCAGAGCAAATTTCTGAGATGGTATATTCACTTCTGCATACAACATATGGCACTGATGGTAATGTCCTCATCCATTAGGTGGTCTGTCAACAAATGACCAAGATATTTAGCGTCTTTTGAAACACTTGGAATATTGCAAAGTAACCTAAAATTAAGGAATGACATATTAGTCCTCTTTAGGTCGACAGATCATGATTACTCTTTTTGTAGTATTCTGGATATCATATTCTCCATCTCAATCTTCTGCCACTTATCTGTAGTCGGGTCGCAGAGGCAACAGGTCCAGGAGAGAAACCCAGACCTCCCTCTCCCCAGTAGGGTTGGGCGGTGCTCCTCTCCGCTTCCAATATGATGAACATAAAAAAAGTTCTGTAATCTATTTATCTATCAACACAATTTAAAATTTGATTTATAGCCTGAAGTCTGTAATTTTGACACAATTTGGAACAGATTTTTACGAAGAGCAAATCTTTCCCACTAAATTGGTCATGTCTAGAACATAAGGGTGTCCAGGGACTCCAGGGGATTAATCGTCCAATTAATCGTTATAGGCTAAATACCACAATTAATCGTGATTAATTTTTTTCCGATACTGCCCAACTCTACTCCCCAGCAACATTTTGCAGTTCATCCTGGGGGACCCCGAGGTTTTCCCAGACCAGAGAGGATACATAATCCCTCCGGTGAGTTCTGAGTGCTCCCCGGGGCCTCCTCCCAGTGGGACGTGTCAGGAACATCTCTAATAATCAGATGAACCACCTCAGTTGACTCCAGCAGCTCTACTCTGAGCTCCCCCTGATGATGGAGCTCCGAGTCCTCACCCTATCTCTAAGGCTGAGCCCGGCCACCCTACAAAGCCCATTTCGGTCGCTTGTATTCGGGATCTCGTTCTTTCGGTCACGATCCACGCCTCATGACCACAGGTGAGGCTTGGAACGTAGACAGACCAGTAAATCCAGAGCTTTAACTTTCGACTCAGTTCTTTCTTCACCATGACAGACCGAAGCAACGCCATCATTACTGAGGACGAGGCCCCAATCCGTCGGGCCATCTCCCGCTCTACCCTACCATCACTGGTGAAAAAGACTATTGATGAACATAAACTGAACACACATTAAGGAGTTGTTGGAGACCAGCTGAACCTGTCTGCATACGTTAGGTGTTTACCTACTGTATTTCCAAACAAACAACCAGTTCTACACTGGTTTAGCTCGTTGGATCATTTATATAAAAATTAAACAGAACTGGGTATAAAATGTTTCCTTGTCCATTACAGACATGGACAGGGTGCAGAAACACAGTGAGCCCATTTAACCTGCTTAGTCTGGTTAGCAGACCAACAAGACAAACATCTAATTACATATTTAGGTGCCTCAGCTTGGCAGTTTTTGAAACAACTCTCTGTGGTTTAATCAAAAGTCTTAGAAGCATCTAAAAACATAAAAACTGTTTTAATACCATAAATAAATGGTTTTATTTTGGTCAAGGTTATCATACCGTTAGGATCTCAAACACACGTGAAGTCATTTCAGAATCAATTGAGTTCAGGGAAAGGTAGCTTCACAGATCCCTCAGACAGAGTTAGTGAATGAAAGCAGGAGGTGAACTAAAGGTTCACTCCCCATCGTCAGAACATAAAGCATGACCACACTGACATGTAACCAGAGCGGTCCTGGCACAGCAACACATGGAACAAAAGCCTCTGAGCTCTCAGAGGGAACATGAGACTCGTCCAGAGTCTCGCTCTGCCCCCATTAGAGATGCAGG